GGAAATGGGGGGGGGGATGAGGAGTGGAGTTGGCCCAGCGAAGGAGGTGTGGAAATAGAGGGATGCGCGACAATGTTGGTCCCAGCAGTGGTGCTGCTGCTGCAGATGTGAGGAGGGGAGGTGGAGGGTGCGTGTGCGTCACCCTTGCCGATGGGGCAGAGGGGTTGCTTCGTGGACATCCATACGTCTACACACTATGCATGGAACTCTGGGGGACAGAGGGGAGCAAACGAAAGGAGGGACGAGAAGGGGTGGGAGAGTTGACTTAGAAGCCACTCGTCCACACACTCCGCATGGAACTCTGGGGGACATAGGTGGGAAGGGGGGGATGGAATGGAGGGGGGTGATTTGTCTCAGAAGCCACACGTCACTCGTCTACACACTCTGCATGGAACTAACAAGGGAGTCAAAAGGAAAAGGGGAAGAAGGGAAGGAGGGGAACGAGTGGACTCCAAAGTCTTTCATCAATAATCAACGGAAGCTGCTTGGTGGTCAAAACCATCGTCCACACATTCCGCATGGAACTCTGAGGGACAAGCGCACCATGTCTACAGGGTAGCACCATATCCACAGGGTTGCACCAATTGAGACAGGGTCTGCAGGGTCGCCCGATTGGTCCTGACAAATCGTATACGTCTCTAGTGCCTTGCTTAACCCTATTTTTGAGTCAATGGGTTGGGAAAGGGCAAGCTCACCATGACCGCAGGGCAGCACTCTCAGACGGTCCCCACTTTGATAGTCATCCAAGCATATCACTCACATCTTTAGTGCCATGGTCCACCCTCTCCTCCTTCTCCTCCCCTCCTCCTTTCCTTCCATTCCCTACTTTTCCTCCACTCCCCACTAAAGTCTCCCTTGCTCCGACCCCCCTAATGCACCCACATGCATCCGAGTCTGTTCCCTTTTCCCCTCTACAAGCCTTTTTTAGAGGTCCATTATCCCCCCTACAAGCTTACGCGAGATGTTCCATAAAAGGCAAGTACGTTATTCCCGGAAGCGCTTCTAGCTTAGGAGTTGATAAGACAGTGCGCTAATCAGGTGGTGGCGGAAGCAGCAATGCTTGCATCACCACCAACCCCTCCTCCCCCATCCTCCGGCGACTTGCGCTTCCGCCCCAGCACCCCCTTATGTGCTGCCCCCTTCGCGCATCCTCGAGCGCATAATGATGAGAGCTGTGAGCAGCGCTAAGAGCGCCGCATCGAGCGGTGAGGGGAGCGAGCTGGAGAGGGTGCGGGTAGGAGGGTGAGAGCGGAGTGCAAAGGTACAATTTGGGTGTCAAACACTTTGTAGCGTGACTCAACGCACTTCCTCGCCCCCCCCCATCACTACAGAAATAGGTCCATCGGAGTAGGAGTGGGAGGAGGAAGTGGGCCACAATGATGTACATTTGAATGTTACATTCACTCATATGGCAACAACAAAGCACCGAATGTACATTCACTCGTAATCACAGCAAAAGCCTTAAGTGTACAAGTGAGTGTATTGAATGCACGTGTGAAAACCCTCAATGTACGATTTGAATGTACATCCAATGCCTTGTTGAATGGCCACACAAGCGTTATTTACCTCACAACACTTGTTGTTTCCCATATTGAATCCTTTGCTTAACCGCATCACTTATGGAGTCGTTCGTGCAGACGCGGCAACAGCTTACAAGTGTATACATCCGCACCATGTTCCCAGCCGTTCCCTTCATCTTCCCAACACGGTTACCCCACCGTCACTGCAAGGATCAAAACTACCAGTGGTAGGTAGGCACATGCAAGCAACAACGCATTCTACGGACTAAGCCACAACAACCAGAGCATGTCGTCGAAATGCTCTCTCCTTGCCCCCCTCATATATTTTCTCCCAACATTTCTAGGGTTGCACCAAGAACAGGCAAACATCTACATCCGTAGTATATCCGCTCTCAAAGCACACTGTCTCATACTCCGGGTTTCTCCCATGAGGGGTCAGACTAACCAGTGACAGGCACAGGCGGGCAACAACACATTTCTACGACTAAGCCGCAACAAGAGCATGGCTCGAAAAGCGCTCTATCTCAAGAGGACCTCTATTGATGGTATATAGGTACAGGCAAAGCACCTGGAACTTCCTAGCACGCACGTTAGCCTAGGCATGCGATTTCAAAGTGCTCATACTCTCTCTCTCTCTCTCTCTCTCTCTCTCTCTCTCTCTCTCTCTCACACACACCCACTTTCTCTCTCCTCTCGATCTCTCTCTCTCTCTCATCTCTCTCTCTCTCTCTCTCTCTCTCTCTCTCTCTCTCTCTCTCTCCTCTCCTTGGCTAGCATCACTGCAAGGATCTGACTACTAGTGGCGGCACAGACAGGCAGCAATACCTTCTGCGGGGTAAACACCATGAAGAGCGTCATATCGGCCTTCTGGCTTTGGTCACCAGCGATGCTTCCGGGCTAGGCACTGAAGGCTGCTACAACATCGATAAATGGTGAGTTGTTGTTGCGAGCTACTTTTGAGAATTCTTAAGGCATCAGCTGTGCAGCAATGGCAAACATCTCTTCCCCCACTACTCTATCTCCTTGACAAATCATGCCATCCCTGCATCGCTCATCTTATGCCAATCCCACATTGTTTCCATACCATGTCACCCCTCATTGCTCCAATTGATGCCACCCTGCGTTTGCTCCAATCAATGTCAAGTGGCAAAAGCACAGTTGGCGAGCCACATGAGTGGTGCCCGTGACCTATGTGCAACGTTTATCAGATAAGGTATGGTTCTGATCAAGTATGGGAGTATTAATGCATGCGTTAGCATTAGATGTTGGTCAAAAATGGTATTGGTTGGTAGGACTCGTGTTCCATGACCTATGTGCAACACGTGTTTGATAAGTTATGATGAGATGGATAAGGTATGAGATGGATAAGGTACCTGAATTGGATAAGGTATTTGAGTATGAGAAATGTGTTCAAGTTGGAAAGGGTATGTCAGAATTATATCTTCTATACCTGCATGTAGTTCTAGCTTGTAGTGTAGATATGAACTTTATAGGTGGTGCACCTCTTTTCTTCACTTGTTTGCGTATATGTACTCTCTTGCTATAGTAAACACCCATTCCCAATTCTCTCGACACTCTCCCTTGGCACAAACTACTCGACTTCCCCTGGCCTAGGCTACCAAGCCTAGGCCCCACTTAACTCTCAACTACCTCTTACGCTCGGATTCTAACATGGCATTAGAGCGGTGTTTCATCCTGGCCTGTGGGCCCCGCCTTATGCTTCCGCTACTGTTTTTCCGGTTCGCGCGCCTAGGGCGCGGTGGCGGTTTTCGTCCTTCCCGCCCCCGGTGTGGCGAGTGACATCTTCTCTGCCGTCGCGTGCCCCGTGGCATGCGACGGTGCCCTAAACTTGCCCTAAAACCCTGAACCTCGCTTTGATACCATGTTAAGATACTAGAAGGAGAATGGCTTAGGAGCCTTAGTAACTTAGGTGAGTTTCGAGTTGAAGGGTGAAGTTCGAGGGTGTGTACATGGGGGGGGGGGGGGGTGGGGTTCTTGGCGCAGAACTCAGCAGGAAGTGCAGCGCGGGGTGGTAGCGAATGTCACTAGTGCGAAGGTGCGTAATGAGGTCAGCGACTATGGGAAAGGCAAGCAAGGTCAGGGAAGAGGTTATGGTAGCATGAGGCGGCTCAGTGCAGCAGTGGCAAGGAAGAGTAGCGTGCAAACTACAGCGTCGTACAAGGTCTGAGCACTCTTGTACGGGCTAAGTGTGCACGCTCAGTGGTCGGTAAGTGGTGGCGCACAGCAAGGCGAGCAGCAGCATCGCGCGTGGCCCACTGTGATGCGAACAGTGGCGTCAGCATCAGCAGCAGGGGCAGGGGAGGCACCAGAAGTGAGGTTAAACAGCGAGAGGCCGTCTGCCCTATTCGTAGTGCAGGAAAAGCTGCAGATCATCTACCCAGACCTCAAAGTCCACTGCGCGACCCTCAGCGTCGAAGGTGAGAACGCTAGGGGAGGCCATAACAGCAGTAGACAGGCAGTGAGTACAGTGGGGCAGGGCAGTGTTGTGGCAGAGACTATGCTCTTACCAGGCAAGTGGGGCGGTCGGGCGGCTCGGCAGCTCGGCGGTCGGGCGGCTCAGCTGCTCGGCGGCTCCGGTGGTCAGGCGGCTCGGCTGTTGGGGCGGCTCGGCGGTTCGGGCGGCTCGGCGGTCGGGCGGCTTGGCTGCTGGGCGGCTCGGCGGTAGGGCGGCTCGGCTGCTGGGCGGCTCAGCGATCGGGCGGCTCAGCTGCTCGTCGGTTCGGCTGCTCGGCGGTGCGGGCGCTGGGCGGCGAGGCCGCAGGTGGCGGCGAGGCCGCAAGTGGCTACGGGGCCGCAGGTGGCGGCGGGGCCGCAGGTGGCGGCGGGGCCGTAGGTGGCGACGAGGGCTGCAGGTGACGACGAGGCCGCAGAGGGGCCAAAACGAGGCCTAGTAAAGGGGCCAGAAGGCGGGGCCGTAGCGGGGCCAGACGGGGCCGTAGCGAGGGGCCGTAGAAGGCGGCGCGAGGGGCCGTAAGGGCGGCCAAAGGTGGCCACTAAGGGCGGCTCGAGGCGCTACTCCGGGTAAGAGCGAAGCGCGCTCCGGGCAGGGAAGAAAAAATTCGTGGTGGGCCCTAGGCAGCATTCCCACTCGGGAACCTGCTCGATACCATGTTAGAAACCCAACCACTAGACCATTGGGATAAAAGGGCTTGTTAAGTAGCGGATCAGTGCGCCCATAACCCCCCAGGACAACGAGCCTGTAACCCTTCCCTAGGATCAATCGGGATCACCAGTGGACCTCTGACAGGGTATACAAGTTTGGACAAGGTATTTGAGCTGGATAAGGTATTTGAGTTGGATAAGGTATATGAGCTGGAACAGGTATTTGAGTTGGATAAGGAATTCCACTTGGACAAGGTATTTGAGTTGGATAAGGTATTTGACTTGGATAGGGTATTTGAGTAGGATAAGGTGTATGACTTGGGTGACATTTGAATAAACTCAAGAAGCACCTTGAGTTATGTCCACAGGTTGACTCTGCACCTTGCATGTTCCTTCATCTATCAGACGTCCATGCTCATTGCCCTTTCGACCTCATTGCCCGTGCCAATCTTCACCAGGTGACCTTGGCAGGTGGCTTCCTACACATCTGGAATAGCAAGGAGGCAACCTCGAGTTTCTTTTGAGCCTTGAGCATCCTCCACACCTATCCATCTGTGCACCTCGTTGTTCGTGTTGATCCTCACCAAGTGGCCCTAGCAGCCGACTTTCTAAACAAAGCCAACAGCGATCTATTGCCCACTTCATATTCTCCCTTCCCCCTCCTCTTCCTCTGTGTGCCCTCAGGTGGCCCTAGCAGCTGACTTCCTGCACAAGTGGAACAACAAGAAGTCGGCCACGGGTATGGGGTACAGCTATATCCTGCACCAGGTGTGTGGCGGTAACCAGAAGTGGGTGTTCAAGGAGCTGTGTGTCAGAATCCCAACCACTATACCATTGGGATAAAAGGGCTTGTTAAGTAGCGGGCCAGTGCGCCCATAACCCCCCAAGCCAACGTACCTGTAACCCTTCCTTATGATCAATCAAGGATCTCCAGTGGACCTCTGACACCCCCCCCCCCCCGCCGCACTGGGAGGCCCGAAGTGCACACACTAGGATTCGAACCCGAGACCTTCGCTCTGATACCATGTTTAAATAAAGGGAAGAAACGGTTTGTTGACTATCGAGAATGTTGGGTACAAGTAACAAACCCTATACCCTACATTGGCTACCCCACTACAGCCTACATATCATTATCACATAAACATATAGTTTGACACTGTGTGTCGTTGTAATGACTTGTGAGTGTATAGCATGGAGGCAGCCTCCGTCAAAAAAATATTTGTGGCGGTTATAGGCTGTAGTGTGGTGACGCTCTAAACACAGCTCAATTAGGATTAGGTACATGTACTCATTTTCTCATCAATGCATCCATTCCTGTTCTCTAGATTCTGACAGCCTCGAGTGTTCTTTTGAGTCAAGCAACAGTCACCTTCTTCCATACCTATCCATATATCCCATTGCACCTCATTGCCCGTGCTAATCCTCACCAGGCGGCCCTAGCAGCTGACTTCTCGCGCAACTAAAACAACAAGGAGTCGACCACGAGTGTGGGATACGACTATATCATGCGCCAAATGTGTGTGTGAATGTGTGTGTGGCGATAACCAAACGTAACTATACAGATAGCCGTGTGTGTGATTGTAATGAGTGGTGAGTGTACAGCAAGGTGCGTATTACTATACTTGCAGCAGGGGTGCTGTGGTGTGTGTACCCATTAGGAACGGCGAATGAGAATGTACTGGAGGTGCGTAGCAAATACATTGTGCATCATGTGTTTGTGTGGCTTTGGCAAGAGTTTATTGTAATGAGTGGCAGTCTTTGTCACCAAGGTGACAGGAACAAGGTAGTTGGGATAAGTCCACCGTAATATAAATTACTTCATTAAGGGCAGTTCGGTTTTCCCCATCCGCTCCCTTCGTGTTTCCACGTAACAATGTCACCTGGACACGAGAGGCTATGTACCATCTTGTATGAAGCATCCAACCACCTCCCTTGCGTTTCCACCAACCACTGTCGCCTGAGGGGGCGACTTGACATCAATAGGTGTGTGGCGGCCTATCTGAAAGCGAGGTTTTATCTTGGGGCCAATCTCCTTTTCTATGCAGAGGCATGTCAATAGTGAGTCGATTCATGTGCTCGTGAGCGTATTTGAGCCTGCATCGCTTCCTCTAATGAACCTTGCATGTCTTTCCATTCCCGCTTTCGTGTTTTGTATCTGAACCTAACAATCTCGTTTTGCCTTTCCTGATGGATCACATGAAAAAAAATACTGTAAATTTGGACTTGGTGTGTCTGTTGGGGAATAGATGACTGTGGTGCTTTTTTCACAAACCTTACCTAAGCACTTTCAAAGTTGCTGATTAGGTCGCTTTTATATGAAAGATCTCCAAAGTTATCATGTATGTTTTTTATTAGTTTCTTCTAGCTAGTACACAAAGAGGCCTAATATCCAGATATTATTCTGTACAGAGAATTTGTTTGATCTTCGGTGATTGTTTGTCCAACCCAAGGCTGTATTGGAATATACAAAATAACACATTTCTAGGGTTTCTTCCTGAAGCTGTACCCATTTTGAGAGTCGAATATAGTACATTTCCATCGAGAACCTGCTCGTTCCGCTAAAACTAGCTGACTATATCGGCTTCCTCGACATGCCCCTAAACAATTATCACTGCTACAATCCAGTGAGGGCCAAGATGACTCACGAGCTGTAACCCTCTGTGATGAAAACACGATACTTTCGCAACCATCTAAATTGTTTCTCAAGGAGGTCCGCGAAACAATGTTATTTCGTTTGAAACTCTTTCCGAAAGAGCAGAACAAAGGAGACCACCTTGAAGTGCGCGGCTTGTATTCAGCGTCGGAGCGCATTACTGAAAAGTCGGCTGTATTGCTACCAGCAATAATCTCCTAGTGCAAACCCACTAACAAAAATCTTGGAATGTTTGAGCAAAACAAGCACGACATAGCAAGCAGCAGCAGTTCTTGTGGAGGTACAAAGGCGAGAGCGAAGCTGATTCACTCGCCAAATCACCTTTACCAACGTGCATCATAAGCTCCTCCTACCTGGTAGAAACGTCCCTTGCTATTCGAGCCATGGATTCAAATGCACGTATCGCGCGGGTGGTAGGCCTGCTCACTGTCATTCTGTCCTTCATTCAATTCTAACCTGCCTTCGCCCTTCGAGTGCTAAGCAATCCCGCAGCAGCCCATGCCAGTGTTGATAGCGAAGCTTCTCTAGCGGGAGCTTCAGCTGCTACTGCATCTGAATCCGGAACAAGCGGTCCAGAGGCAGCGAGCGTGATCCAGAGCGGTGAAGCGGACCCGTGCACGCTGTGGAGTCAGGAAATCGCCACGAATGCAGGGATCTGGAACGTTGCGAAACCCTCTACAGTTCACGAATGCTTGCGCAATTTCAAAATCAGGTAACGACTCGTTTGATATTGCAAATGCAGTAGCATTGACCTTCTGGAAAAAACGACTTCATTTGAACAAGCGTTTCTGTTTTTGAAAAAAAAAACCCTTTGACTTTGAGCAGGGAGAGCGACGTGGAAGATCTCCGGTCCGTGTTCAATGGAGTCAACAACCACTACGTTTACAAGGACACTGCCGTTGACTCGCCCGACCAGACGAACCTTCCCAGCAGCGTCGACATCGTCGCGGAGCTGACGGCCATTCTGCAGCGCGCCGAGCAGGGTGAATACGAACGGCTGATGGACGCCCACGTGGACACATTCAACGCGCTCAACGGCCTGAACGACGGCCACACCATGTTCTGGTCCAACTGCTTCTTCGGCGTGGCTACCTTCGTCCTCCCGCTTCCGCTTTTCGCGGTCGTGGAGGAAGGTCAGCAGATCGTTCGCGTCGCCACGCGCCAATGTGAGTCTCTCTGCCGCGCGATTGTAAAACCTCTCACACGTACGCACGCACGTACATTACGCTCAGGCGAACTCGTTTTCCAATTACGCTTCGTTTCAAAGTGTATAAGTAACGCTGCCTGTGGCCGTGTTTCATCGCGCCATACCCTTCAGACCTGGAGCGGCTCAACGGGATCGATGAGGACGCGAAGAAGCTCTGGGGTTTCGATTTTTCCGCCTACGAGTTACAGCAGGTACGCTACTGTCGCTAAACGGGTACATTAAATAGCAGAAAAGCCACAATACACGTGGTTTGCAATATCGGCCAGTGTCTATAAAGTAGCAAGGGCATAGAACTCCCTCGTCCCCTCTCTGCAGGTGCTCGCCATAGAGGGCCAGCCGGCAGTGGAGTATATCAAGCAGTGGGCGGACAAGCACGGCGGCATGGTGCGCAACCCCAGTGCGCGTTTCAACATGATGTTCGCCGGGCTCGACCCGGAGGGAAAAGCCAAATTGAGCCATCACGCGGGGAGTTTGTTGTGCGGGAGCTGGTTCCAGAAAGCGATACGCTGCAGGTGTCCGTTTTCACAGGGTGAGCCTTATGCACACAAAACGGCAAGAATGTACTTCCATTAACCCTAGTTGGTACCACTGAATTCTCATGCCCTGTTGTTCTGTTGGCATTTTCTGTTGTCACTGTTTTGTTATTGTTTTGTCTGGGTGGTTTCTGTGGCTGGGAGCACAGCGGGGCAGCGGAGAACGTGAGCGTGCCATGGATGGCTGTCTCGAACCCACAGCCCTTCAACGACTCGCACTCCTACTGGACCCTCAACTGCACCAAGCACAACGAGCGCTGTCCAGGCGACGCTGATGCTGGCACGCAACAGCAGCAGCGGCAGCAGTGGCAGTGGTAGCGGCAGCAAGGAGAAGCAGGCTCCGTGTCCTGTGTTTGAGCGTGATGTGCTGAGGAGGCGACCCCAGTACCAGCAACACCAGCGGCCCCCACAGGCGCCAGCAGCAGCAGCCACAGGAGAAGCAGGAAGGCAAGGAGGAAGCAGGGTCGTCAAGCAACGATGCGCAGAGCAGCGACAAGGTTGCACCCAGGATACTGGCTGGAGAGGAGGGGGCAGCCATCACAATGGAGAAGGTGTCTGCTGACGATGCCTACTACCTGGTATGCGCGTGTGACAGTATGCGCGTGTGACTGTATGCGTGTGTGACTGTGTGCGGGTGTGACTGTGTGCGCGTGTGACTGTGTGCGCGTGTGACTGTGTGCGCGTGTGACTGCATGCAGGTATCAGTGTTCGTGCTGAAACGCTATCAAGAACCGCATTCAACCTCCCAGCTCTCCTCTCTCTCCCCTGGCAGTCCCCCTCAACCCCCCTTAACCGCACTTCACCACTCTCACGAGTATCTGTTGCACAACTGCACAGCAGTGATCTGCTGCACCACGGCGAGTAAGCTGACCGTCACCAGCCCTGGCTTGCAACCCTCTGGACCCTTCTGCACCCCTCTGCACCCCTGGACACCCCTCTGAATCCCTCTGCACCTCTCTGCACCCCTCTGCGCCCCTCTCAGGTGTATCTGGTGGACAACCGCACGGCAGTGATAGTGCTGCACACATTCAGCGTGGACCCCACTACGGAGGAGGAGCTCGCAGTCAGCAGGCCTGACGTGAATCCCATCAACTACCTCGCTGAGGAGATTCTCAAAGCCATGGATACTGCCAGGAGGTACGCGCGCCCTCTCCGCTTCGCCCCCTGCTAGTCCTCCCTGCTAGTCCTCCCTGCTAGTCCTCCCTGCTAGTCCTCCCTGCTAGTCCTCCCTGCTAGTCCTCCCTGCTAGTCCTCCCTGCTAGTCCTCCCTGCTTGCCCTCCCTGCTTGCCCTCCCTGCTTGCCCTCCCTGCTTGCCCTCCCTGCTTGCCCTCCCTGCTTGCCCTCCCTGCTCGCCCTCCCTCCTCGCCCTCCCTGCTCGCCCTCCCTGCTCACCCTCCCTGCTCGCCCTCCCTGCTCGCCCTCCCTGCTCGCCCTCCCTGCTCGCCCTCCCTGCTCGCCTTCCCTGCTTGCCCTCCCTGCTTGCCCTCCATGCTTGCACACCAATTTTCCCTTACTGAAAAACCCTTCTCTCTCTCAGCATTTTGGACATTCATCTCCCAACTTCTCCCTTCTGAAATTTTACTGAAAACCAATTCTGAACCTTTCCCCCGCCCCCCCCCGCGCGCAGCACCGACTGCGCGGAGGTCATATTCGACGTGCGCGATAACGGCGGCGGGTACGTCACACTGGCCTCACACACAGTCGTCGCACTTCTCGGCACGCGCAACGTGCCTCTAGCGGAAGCAACCCTACCCATGGACTTCATTATAGGCACCAACTTCACCTGGAGCCTCATGGAGGATCAGGCCATTCCTGGCTACGTCACGAACGCGTACACTCAGCCCAGCGACGGCACGTCGCTCCTCTCGTCTGCTGAAGACTACACTCCTCTGCAAAACGTCCCCTTCTCCGTCGCCGGCCGCATCGGCACCTATACCGCGGATTTTAAACTGAATTTCGATTATTTCTACGGCGACTTGGCGGCGCGGCCCGAGTTTTCGGAGCCGTTTTTTCGGCGCGCGGCCGTTTTCTGTTTCTCGCGGACGGGGACTGCTTCTCCACCTGCGCCGTCCTCACGCACATGCTGGGTAAACGCTACAAAGTACCCATGGTAACCGTGGGTGGTTACCTCGACCAGCCCGTGTCCGTGAGCGCGTCGTGCCTGGGCTACACCATGCTCTCGTTAAACTGCGCCGTCTCGGTTCCGCTAAGCCGCACGAACCACGCCAACGACCCGCACGCGTCGAAACCGTTTAAAACGAACATGGATGTTTCCATGGCGTTTACTAACGGGTACGTGGACTCCGGCGTTCCGTGCGAGTTCGAATTTCTGCCCAGTCAGCACCACGTGGACTACACCGTAGATCGCATCGACAAGCCCGAGGTGATTTGGAGCGACGTCGCGAAACTCTTCCCGGAATTGCCGCTGCCACCGGTGATCGCTCAGTCGCAGGCTGCAGTGTAACTCTTCCGCAACTGCACCGTCAGTCACGCGAATCGGTTTGGCGAATCAAGAGGAGTTGCCACCAGAACCATCCTAGCATTACCTTAGCGAATAACGAGCACTTTCTGTGGATGTTAGCTAGTTTAGCATTACGCAATAAAGAGCTCCTTTTCTGTGGATGTTAGCTAGTTTAGCATTACGCAATAAAGAGCTCCTTATTAGCGCGTTTAGCACTACGCAATAACGAGCTGCCTATTTGGCACGGCATGGTGTTCCCTGCGATTTTCCCTGGACGCCTTGAAATACTTCGTTATGCAGCTATCCGCTCTACAAGCTGGACAGCCCATGTTTTGTCATACATTGGTTAAACACCAAGTGAAATAGTGTACTTTGGCTCTGCACCGTACCCCAACTTTGCACTGCACTCACGAGATTGTTATGTCCCTTTTGTCAGAGCTTGATCCGTGGGTCAGGACCTCGATACACGTGCGCCTTTGGTAGGGTGGGTGGGGTGGGTGCCCCAAAAGCACATCGCCCTGCTCCTGCCGTGCCCTCCCATCCATCGCGACAGCTAGGTGGGTCACGACACAACTCGCGGACAGAAACAGCTGCTCCTCTCGTTCACTTCGCCTCCCTCCCCAACCCAGATCTCGCTTGCCGTCAGCTCGCTGTCCATTGGCTGATCTGTCGGGCAGGCCTCGCTGTAGGATGCACGGATCGCTTTCCTCCTGCACTCCGTTGTGCACGTGTGCTCTTATCGCATCTACTGTTACAGTTAGTTCACAGACATCCCACTCCGCCCACAGTCTTTTGCCTGGGGCAAAAGGACCGTCTCATGCCGCTCATCTCCGCATCGCGAAGGCAGGATCGGTCGTGCCTGGTACAATCGGATCGGGAATCAACGTCAGGTCGGGTGCATGCGCGACTGTTTCGCACGATCGGTCCTTCTGATGTTCCCTATATTAAAAATTTCGCCCTTATCCAAATGCGCTGTTCGAATCGACCGCCTTGAGGAGTGCGGCTCGTATTCAGCGTCGGAGCGCGTGAGTGAAACGTTGGTTCTAACAACATGCTCGCTCTGCCAGCAACGCCTCCCTGGCGACGCGAGCTCGCAAGCAGTGCTTGGAATAATCGTGGAGTATATAAACAAAACAGCTAGTGCCGGGGGTGCAAAGGCGAGTGAGAAATAGCAGCAGCAGTTTTGTTGTTGCACACCGGGGGTGCAAAGGCGAGTGAGCTGATTCACTCGCCACCTCACAACTTCAGCCATGTCAGAAGCCCCTCCTATCCTACCCGGTAGAGTCGTCCCTTGTTGCGGCCCAAGCCATGGGTTTACGGGGATGCCTCGTGCGGGTGGGCCTGCTTGCCGTCGTTCTCTCCATGATTCATTTCCAGCCTGCCTTCGCCGGTCGACTTCTCGTAGACGATTCCATAGCAGCCTCTCTCAGTGCTGATAGCGAAGCTTCTCTAGCGGGAGCCGCTGATGTTACCGTTGGATCGGGAACGAGCGGTCCAGAGGCAGCGAGCGTGGTGCAGAGCGGTGCAGCGGACCCGTGCGCGCTGTGGAGTCAGGATATTGCCACGAATGCAGCGAGCTGGGACGTTGCGAAGCCCTCTACAGTTCGCGAATGCTTGCGAAACCTGAAGATCAGGTAACGTGCCGCGTCAACGAGAGGCTGTGACCTTCTGGAAACCATTTACCAAATCCTTTAGCAATCTTTTCTGTTTTTGCGAAATGACTCGCTTTGACTTGAGCAGAGAGAGTGACGTGGAAGATCTTCGGTCAGTAGTCAACGGAGTCAACAACCACTACGTCTACAAGGACATCGCCGTTGACTCGCCCGACCAGACGAACCTTCCCAGCAGCGTCGACATCGTCGCGGAGCTGACGGTCATTCTGCAGCGCGCCGAGCAGGGCGAATACGAACGGCTGATGGACGCCCACGTGGACACGTTCAACGCGATCAACGGCCTGAACGACGGCCTGAACGCAGCAAGCAGCAGCGGCGGCGGCAACGGCGGCGGTGGCGGCGGCGGTGGAGGCAGCAAAGAGAGGGGTTTGGGGGAGGCTCTTCCTGTGTTCCAGCGGGATGTGCTGAGGAGGCGACTCCAGTATGGGCAACACCAGCAGCCCCACAGGCGCCAGTTGCAGCGGCAGTTGCAGGAGCAGCAGGCGGAGGGGCAAGAGGAGCAGGGGCAAGAGGCGCAGGGGCAAGAGGCGCAGGGGCAAGAGGCGCAGGGGCAAGAGGAGCAGGGGCAAGAGGCGGAGGGGCAAGAGGCGCAGGGGCAAGAGGCGCAGGGGCAAGAGGAGCAGGGGCAAGAGGAGCAGGGGCAAGGGGAGCAGGGGCAAGAGGAGCAGGGGCAAGAGGAGCAGGGGCAAGGGGAGCAGGGGCAAGGGGAGCAGGAGCAAGGGGAGCAGGGGCAAGAGCTGGAGGGGCAAGAGACAGAGGGGCAAGGGGAGCAGGGGCAAGAGGAGCAGGTGCAAGGGGAGCAGGGGCAAGAGGCGCAGGGGCAAGAGGAGCAGGGGCAAGGGGAGCAGGGGCAAGAGGAGCAGGGGCAAGGGGAGCAGGGGCAAGGGGCGGAGGGGCAAGAGGCGGAGGGGGAGGGGCAAGAGGCGCAGGGGCAAGAGGCACAGGGGCAAGAGACGGAGGGGCAACAGGGGGAGGATCAACAGGGGGGTGGGGAAGAGGTGGGTGGGGAAGAGGTGGGTGGGGAAGAGGCGGGTGGGGAAGAGGCGGGTGGGGAAGAGGTGGGTGGGGAAGAGGCTGGTGGGGAAGAGGCGGGTGGGGAAGAGGCGGGTGGGGAAGAGGCAGGTGTGGAAGATGGGGTTGGAGAAGACTCAGGTGGGGAAGAGACGGATGGGCAAGGGGCGCCGGTGGTAATCATCTTCTAAGAAGTGTGGCTCTTAGGGTGTAACAGAGTTTGAATAGTTAGAGTAGTTAGTGTAGTAGCTGGTAGTAGGCAAAGTAGATACGCTACACCACTAGTAACAGGCAGCTGTCAAGTTCGGCCAGTTGGTGTTGAAGGGGAGCAGGTTGGTTGAATGTGTGTCAGTCAGTGCCGACATGCACAACTTCTAGAGTTGACTCGCAGAACGGGCTAACTCAGGCTAACCGTAATAAACCCGTAGCACAATCATAGAAGTTTATGTTTGTTAGAGCCTTCTAGATCTCCATGTAACCTGATAAGTATCTAGATTGTGAACGCAAGCCGAGCAACTTCTGAGGCGCCTCGAGGTGGTTGAAATCAAGACACTCCGTCCAAAACATGGAGCTTTTCAAGCGAAGCGGGAGCTAGCAAAGGGAAGCAAAACAACCCATAACCAGCACGGATAACCCACCCACCCACGTCTTTCTGACCAGAACGCAGCAGCATCAACATCATATGGAACTGGTTTTGAGGGGGTTTTTGTTTCATTCTTGCATACCGTACACTTGCCAGGTAATCTATTGTACCGGAGTGAAATACATCTCATAACGTCAGAGCTACAGGCAGCCAACAGGTCAGTGGCTGAATTTCTCACAAGGCTCAGTAACTGGGTGCCTTGTTAAATGCTTTTGCTGAATGTCACTCTCTGGCTGGCTGCAGTCAGCAGCATATCGCCGGATGCATGCAAAGGTGGTTACAGGGATGGCTCTGGTTGGTGTGAGATGGTGTGAGATGCACCATCATCCGATGCTCGTCAAATCCGTTTGGTGTGACAGCTCAGCATGCATGGGTGCTGATTCAGCAGCTGAAGAGGAGGGAGAGGTAGGAGAACCTGCCGGGCCAGGAGGCAGGAGGAATGGCCGCCGGATGTCACTAGCTCCAGGCTCGGCAGCAGACGGGCTAGGTACGGCCAGAGCATGCAAGGAGGCTCGGGAGCTGGCAGGGTGCCTTATCCAAGGTAGGTTGGGAAGCAAAGAGGTGAGAAGCAATGACGAAGGGGATGGGTGGTATTGTGGGTGAGGGGAGGAGGGATGAGAGGAGGGAGAGGAGGTCACTGATCTTGAGGAAGAGGGGGAGGAGGATGAGGAGGAGGAGGGTGGGGAGGAGGATGAGGAGTGGAGTTGGCTCGGCGAAGGAGGTGTGGGAACAGAGGTACCTGCGGCAATGTTGGTGCCAGCAGTGCTGCTACCGCTGCTGCTGGTGTTGCTGCTGATGGTGCACATGGGAGGAGGGGATGTGGAGGGTGCGTGTGCGTCACCCTTGCAGATGGGGCAGAGGGGCTGCTTGGTGGTCAACCACTCGTCCACACACTCCGCATGGAACTCTGCGGAACAAGGGGGAGCAAGGGAGTCGAGAGGAAAAGGGGAACAAGGGAAGGACACGCACAGGTGAACAGTCAGCAGGGAACTCTGCAAGTGTTGAGTGGCGGACAGAGGGGAGAGGGAAGTGGGGGGAGGGGGAGAAGGGGAGAGGGGAGAGGGAGAAGGGATAGCGGATAGGGGAGAGGGGCGAGGGGAGAAGGGATAGGCGAGAGGGGAGGGAGAGGATTGGGGGTCGGGCCATTTGCTGGTCCCCTCAACATGGGACTCTGAGTGCGGCGAGAGGAGGTTGGGGAGGGAGGGTGCGGTGGGGGATGGGGAAGAATATCAATGACACGGGAGAGTGAGAGTGCGGAATAGTCATGGTTTAAAGGGGGGAGGAGTGGGGAAGAGAGGGGAGGGGAGGGGAGGGGAGGGGAGGGGAGGGGAGGGGAGGGGAAGGGAGGGGAGGGGAAGGGAGGGGAGGGGAGAGGAGGGGAGAGGTGAAAGGCATGGTGAGGCTTAGGCACCCTAACGCATAGGAAAGAGGGGCTGGAATAAGCGGTTTGGGAAGAGGGGGCTGGGGAAGGCGGGGGTGGGGATGGGTTGAGGGGAAGGGCAAGGCAAGCGCACCATGCCCGCAGGGCAGCACTCTCAGGCGGTCGCCCGATTGGTAATCGTCCAGGCAGATGGCGCATGTCTCTAGCGCCCTGCTCCACCCCCTCCTCCTCCTTCTCCCCGCCGCCTTCCCCGCCTCCTTTCCCTCCTCCTTTCCCTCCTCTCCCTGCTCACTTCTTCCCTGCTCCTCCACATCTCCCAGCGACTCATCCCCATCCTCCCCTTCCTCCACTCCATTATCCCCTTTACAAGCTTCCGCGAGATCTTCCATAGAAGGCGAGAACGTTATTTCCGGAAGCGCTTTCAGCTCCGCAGCTGATAAACCGATGCGCTTCTCGGGCGGCGGCGGAAGCAGCAGCGCGCGCATCACCACCAGCCCCTCCTCCCCCATCCCCCCGGCGGCTTCCGCTTCCGCCCCCGCGACCCCCCACGCGCCCCCCCTCCGCGCCTCCTCAAGCGCGCGCCGTATCCGCTGCTGGCGCACGATAATCAGAAACGCGGAGAGGAAGACGGAGAGCGTGAGCAGCGCGAGGAGCGCCGCAGCGAGCAGCGGGAGGAGCGAGCCGGAGAGGGTGGGGAGGAGGATGAGGAGCGAGGCGGGTTGCGCGGCGAGGAGCGAGAGCAGCAAATGGCCGTCCGCGTGGGAGATGTAGACGGCGGGGATCGCCACGTCCCACACGTTTGCGCGCGGACACTGCGCAGGCCGGGGGGGAGAACGGGGGGCGGGGAATATGGGGAGAGAAGGGTGGGTGAGTAAGAGGAGCGAGAGGAGTGAGAGCAGCAAGTGGCCATCCACGTGGGAGATGTAGACCGCGGGGACTACCACGTCCCACACGTTCCGCACGGACCTAGCGGGGAGCGGGCGGGTGCGGGGAGGACGGGGGGCGGGGGAGGAAGAAGGGGAATGAGGAACAAAACTTGCGGGGTATATTCAAGGCGCAGCAACAAGGACCGCAAGTCCGCCGGCACTTCCGCGTGAGAGGTGCGGACAGCGCAATCACCACGCGCCGCACGTTGCGCGCGGACGTGGGCTTGGGAAGGCAGTGGGTTCAGGGGAGGGGGGCGGGGGGAAGGCAAGGAATGTATGGATTGGGAGCAGGGTTGGCTGAAAGGCGATTGTGATAGGCAACTATCCTGCTCCCTATCCATTCAGGCAACTATCGTGCCAGGGTTGTGATAGCAGTGCTCCCTATCCATTCAGGCAACTATCGTGCCAGGGTTGTGATAGCAGTGCTCCCTATCCATGCATTCCTTGGATAGGGAAGCGGGCGGAATCAGGCAACTCCACTCAGGCGAAATCAGGCAACTCCACTCAGGCGGAATCAGGCAACTCCACTCAGGCGGAATCAGGCAACTCCACTCAGGCGGAATCAGGCAACTCCACTCAGGCGGAATCAGGCAACTCCACTCAGGCGGAATCAGGCGCGTGTGTGTCTGGGAAGGGAGTGCACACGCGGGCGTTGCGCGCGGGGTGGGGTGAGCGGAAGGTAGGAGAAGGGATAACATGTCTCGTTATTGTGGTTCACTCACTCGATATAAGCTCGTCGTTGTCCTCGTTATTGAACACTATCGCGGCCGCGTACCCCGCCACTTGCGCGTTCAGAACTTTGGTGTCGAATAGGCAGTTGCCACGTGTGATCAGCGCGAAGGCCCGCTCGGCGCGCTTTGCGCGGGACGCGAGCGGCTGACACGCGTCGAGCGGCTCCGCTCGGCGCAAAACGCCGCGAATGCCGCTCGAGGGGATGATACCGCCTGGGGACGGCGGGGGGGAAGAGAGCGGGGAAGGGGGGAGATGCATCGGGGGGAGAGGGGGAAGGGGCGGTGGGGGGGAGATTGGAGATATGTACCCGCGCCGATGCAGCTGTGGCAGCCGTATCACAGCTCGGCGCGCAGCTGCGTTACCAGTTGCGTTACCAAAAGGCTCGGCGCGCAGATGCGCAGCAAGGCAGCATGGCGCACAGCGCTGAGCTGCGAGTGCTTGTTGAATTTAGCGTACGCAGCGGGGAGAAGCGGGTGAAGCGCGCGGATTGTGAGGCGCAATCCCGGTGAGGTGCAAGGCGTGCTGCGTTTGATGCGGTGAGTGCGCGGCGGGTGAGGGCGCGGAGGGTGCGTGCGCAAGTGGTGAGTGCGCGCCGGATAAGAGCGCGAATGGTGAATGCGACGAACTCAACGGCTGAGATGAAACGGAGGGGCGTACCAAAGTTGGCGTCGACGTCATTGATGACGTAAGAGGCGTTCTTGGGAGTTACGACGACGATCGCCGCCGAGGCTGGCAGCGCACGGAGATGCAACGTCGCGCACCATGTGATTACAGCGAGGCACGATAACAACCGACTGCGTCGCGCACTCATGCTGGCCAAAACCTAGTGGAACCTATTGCTGCGGCGTAGTGGCGACGGGAGTACGGAGAGTGGAATAGGGTAAGCAGGGCGAGGGGGCTTTGGAGCTCCACTTCCCTCGCGTAGCTCGTATCAGCTACTGCGTGTCTGCAACTATGTGTCAGTACAAGTCAGCAAGTACGTTAGCAGCTTCATGTGTGCTCAACGAGAGCACTTCAGAATAGGAGGAGCAATCGCATGTGTGTGCTCGCCGAGCCGAAAAGACAGCGTTCAAACTAATAACGTAGGAGTGATGAGCAAAGCACGCTTGCTGTGGGATTACGGATAGGAATCAACTAATGCACTGCGGCTAAAAAGCTGGGACCAGGAGGCACATTCCAAATCCTAGGTTATGAACGTGAGCTCCCGAGCTGCATAGTGGAGTGACTTCGATTCGAGGCGAGGGGGAGAGTCGCGCGTCGAACGAATTACGCGGAGAAACCGAGGTGAGGAGGGGAGAACCCAAAGGAAGCGGGGCGAGGAACTTTCTCCCCGTCAGCGGCGGATGCGGAGTTGCAGCTGGCGTTTCCCCGGAATAACGCGGGGAGACGAAAGCTGCTGCTGGTTCCCCCAGCCCGCGCTTGTCAGACTCCGCGCGCTGGTGGAGGTACAGTCTGTATGTACTTGACAGCCCTTGCTCTGGCTCGCCCGCTTGTTGTGGGACCGCGCAATCTCGAGTGGGGAAGGTTCGGTTCGGGATGGGGGAAGACGGAAAGCAAACATAGCGGCGAAGAAGCAGCACCGGTATGATACACCCAATTATTCTTTTGATGCACCCGTGATAGTTTTACGGGCTTGGTACGTTCACATAGAAGGTTGGGAGCGATGCATTGATGTCACATAGAATCGATTCACACGCGTGATCAGTTCAGCATTGAATTGCTAAACGTCGAAGAAAATTGGTGGCAGAACACTACAGTTACACGCATTCGCGCTAAAAACGAGGCCAAATTTATTAGTCATGATTCGGTCAGGCCGGCCTGCAGTTGCAAAAACGTATTAATAGCCACATTTTGGGAGCAAGGGATGGCAATACGCAGGGAAATGTGACTCGCAGACGTTAAAAGCACCGGGCGAAAAGGACAAGCATCTCCGACCGAAACGCGCTTGGTGAGATAAACGAAGAGCTGGGTGTATGGAGGAGACCCCATGAGACGCGAGTTTCCGATTGGTTTCAGGGGCCGTAACATTCAGACGCAGCGCGGGAAAACAAACTCACCGACGGGCACAATCATTTGTCACGAGGTATACAAGAAACGATATGAGACCATGTCGAATGATGCAGCGTGGCATTCCATTTGTGGATGTGGAGGGAAATCTGAACTGTGAGACGTCCTACTGGCTGGCTGCCCTTGCGGGAATCTCCTCCGCTACAGTGCAGTACGGCTTGAGCCGCTTGTGCCCACCTAATTTACACACGATGCCTGCTTCACTCACTAAAAAATAATGCTTACCTTTTCCACGCCTAAAATACAGCAATAAGTGAACGAGGAGAACGGGCTCGAATACATTCACTATTGAAGAAAAACATCTATGATAACGAGTGCTATTGAAGGTTTATCCACATCAACGTTTGCATTTCCGCGGGTAGCACGAAGTGGCTGTCTACATTGTTCTGACATAAGCTAGACTAATTTTATTCTTCCGATAATCTTATTTTGAATAAAAAGTGCACAATGGCTTGTGGCCCGGCACAAGAGCTGGAGCTGGTGGAACAGCGTGGGGAAAACACGTGTTCTAAACCTGGGTACACGTCATGCTGATGCTACACCACACCACCTTCGTTCCTGGTTGCTCAATCAGATCTCGACTCTTGCGCCAGCGGGGTTGTGCGCCATCTCCATAGAGGGTTTGCGGGCAGTTGGTGTTTGACATGTGTACAGTACCCTGCCCACAGAACACGGCCACTCGCCAGCTGCGAAAACACCTGACGAGCACATTGGCGGCGGTATGAAAACACCAACCTGCCGCAACATGAAAGTGGTAGCAGAACAACCTGGACCGCTGTAAAGCATGTTATATAGTTGGGTGTATAATTTCTGAGCAGACACACATCATTATACAGCTGCAGAACACAACTCAAATCCAGCAGAGACCTGTATAAGCCAAAATCATCAGCAGCACGGAATGTCATCTTCTTCACGCAATTCCATTTGTAAGACCTCCAAACTGAACAGGCGGCACACCAGCGCCACCAGATCCTGCACCTTGAATCACACCACCAGACGACCCCGGAAACTTAAACATTCCAGGCAGCATTCCTGGCACATAAAATGGCTCGGAAGAAGCCCCACTCATGCCCATAGGCATAGGAAGATCTATCATGCCTTCCATGTCCATTGCACTAGCACTGTAGTTCCCCATACCTGCACCGGCACCACCCATGCCATGCATCCCCATGCCACCCGACCCTACACCACCCATTCCCATGCCTCCTCCACTCATGCCAGTCACCCCCATCCCTGGTCTCATGCCCATGCCCATGTCTCCAAAGCCCATAGGCATCCCACCAATGTTCATGCCCATGCCCATACCAGGACCCATCATGTTCACACCCATGCTTGGATCCATACCCATCCCCATCCCCATACCCATGCCCAAAGGCATAGCCATGCCAGGAAGGGCGGCACCCACACCCATGGCACCTGCGCTTGCACCTCCTCTCACACCAGTTGCCGCCATCGCTGCAGCACCCATGCCTGTAACTGTAGCCCCCATCACCACACCTGCAGCTCCCGGGCGTAGACCCACGCCTGCAGATCCCGGACCTAGACCCATACCTGGTCGCGCATGCACTCCCAAGCCTGCAGTAGCTATGTTACCTCCCATTCCTGCTACCATTCCCATACCCCCCATGCCTGTCCCTCCCACGCCTGCACCCAACATGCCACCGCCCATACCACCAGCCATGCCTTGCCCCGGTTCATGACCCCCCATCATCACCATGCCACCTGGCCGCAACATAACACCTCCTCCAGGCAAGCCTCTCATCACAGGTGCCATGCCTCCGCCTCCCATGCTGCCACCAGCCATGCCAACAGCCATGCCACCCCCCCCTGCCATCCTACCAGCCCACATGGCAGCTTGACCCGCTCCATTGCTCACCCCACCAGCACCACCACCACCACCAGCAGCACCACCAGCACCATTCCCAGCAGCAACACCGCCACCAGCACTGATGCCACTAGCAGCATTAGCACCACCGCTCGTGCCTGTCCCTGCTGCTCGCGCTGCTACAGCAGCTGTCAGCGCCAGCACCTCTGCATCTGTGCTCGCACCCACTCTCTTCCCTGCAGCTCCACCACCCGTTCCTGCCCCCAACCCACTCGATGACCTCGCTGCCGAACCTGCTGCCTCGGCTCCTGCCTCGGATACCACGCCTCCTGCCGAGACCACAGCTGCTCCGGCCATGCCTGCCATACCAGGCCAGGCACCAAAGGCGTTCAACCCAGCCATAGCATTCAGCCCGGTCGAATCGGTCAACTCAGTCAACTCAGTCATCCTGCCTAGACCACTCAGGCCAGCTGTGCCTTTCATAGGCCATGCACCAGCAGCAGCAGCAGCGTTCCCAGCAACAGAGCCTGAGGCATCAACAGCCGTGCCTTCGCCTGCTACACGCCCAGCACTTGCTGCCATGGATGTAGCACTAGCTGCTGTCGCACCACTTGCTGTAGCCCCAGCAGCTGTAGCACCCGCGGTTGTAGCAGCAGCAGTAGTGGCGCCAGCGGTTGTTCCAGCAGCGGCAGCAGCAGCCCTTGCAGCAGCAGAGAACTGACTGGAATAGCCAGACGCAGCAGTGTCCGCAGAACCAGCCAAACCACCCGCGGCAGCAGCAGCAGCAAACTGCGGCAGGTACTGCAGCGGCGGCGTCGCAGACAGCCCCGCAGGGAGAGTTGCAGAGAGGCCGGCTGGGAGATTGGCATGCGGATTACCAGGAAGATTCGCAGGGAGGGGCAGCGTACCCGGCTTGACATCCTCTGGCAGATCAAATCCAGAGAATCCTGGCCAGGCAGACATCATATGGGACATCATGAAGAGCTCCTCCACATCCCCCCCGCCCATAGGTACGTTCCCAAGGGGCATCTCCCCCCCCACTCCTACCCCACGGGGCACATTGCCCCGCATGCTGCTGGCCATGCCCCCTCCTATGGCGCGGGGCACGTCCCCCCCTAGGCTGCTGGCGCCTCCGCGCATGGCTGTGAGGAGCGCCTGGTGGTTGTGCGCCAGGAGGTGTTGGTCGGAATGGGCAGCGGAGTGAAGGGCGGAGTGTGGGCGAGAGGGCGTGGTGGGCGCAGGGGACGACTGGGAGCGAGGCATTGAGGAGAAGGCTGGCTGGGCTGGCAGTCCTGATGGGGTTGATGCTGATTGCGATGCTGATGCGTTTGCGTTGCCATTTGCGGACGCTCCTCCTGCTCCTCCTCTTCCTGCTGCAGCTGCTGCGACTGCGGCGGCTGCTGCTGATGCTGAGCTCGCGCCAGCAGCAGCTGATACAGACGCGGGGCCAGTTGAAGCGGCGGTTCCTGCCTCCTTGCTGCCTGCACCTCCCTCCCCTCCTCTCGCTCCTCCGCCTGCCGCTCCTGCTTCTCCTTCTCCCCCACCACCCCCTTCCGACTGCAACCTCTGCAAGGCGTCACCCGCACCCCGTTGTTCCAATGCATCGCTTGCTGCCTCTCCAGCCGCTTCTCCCTTATGTGACTCAGCAGCAGCACCACCACCACCAGCAGCAGCAGCACCAGCGCCGCCAGCACCACCACCATCAGCAGCAGCAGCAGCAGGATCAGCACTTATTGCATCGTTGGCACTGGGTGGGCCGGTGCGCATATCATGCAACTGCTGCGCTTCTGTCACAGCATTGACTGCATTGACCCCATTGGCTCCGTCAACCCGTTCTTGTCCATCGCCTAGCAGCCTCGCCTCTCCCCCTTCCACCTCCATTCCCACCGCACCATCCCCCTCTGCTGCTCGTTCCTTCGCACTCTCTCGAGCAGCTGCTGCAGCATCTGCACCAACTCCACTTCCCGCTAACCTGCCCGCCTCCGCCCTACCTTCTTCCCACTTCACACAGCCCGCAGCACTCTCTGGCCTTTGCTCCTGGGCCTGAGTCTGCCTACTCGTCTTCTCCTCGGGCTCTTGTGATCCCCCTGTTGCATCAGCTGCGCCAACGTTAGACTTGGCATTTTCTGATGACGCCTTGTCCTCTGCACCCCGGCTCCCTGCTGCCGCCCTCACATCTGCTGCTTCTCCGTCTACTGTAGCGCCTGCTGCTGCGGCGCCTGCGGGTTCTGTGTTTGCTTCTGCGTTTGCTGCTGGTGCTGCTGCTGCTGCTGCTAATGGTGGTGACGAGGCGTCGTTGCCGCCCGTGCCTCTCATGAGTTGCATGAACGCGTCCTGGAGCAAAAGAATGAGCGAACCACAGGCGAACCACAATCACAGGTCTGAGAACTCATATAGTCGACTGCGTCGTCGTTGGTTGGTGCCTGCCCGTGCCTCACATGAGTTGCAAGAACGCGTCCTGGCACAGGAGAAGGAGCGAGATGAAGGCCAGCGCAGCGAAAGCACGCATGGCATGGCATGGCATGACATCCGAGTCCACGCACAAGCCTCGCGGTAAGAGCGTAAGACATCGAGCACGGAGCGGGCAAGACCAAGGGCGCGGGCAAGACCAAGGGCACGGGCAAGACAAAGGGAACGGGCAAGACGAAGGGGGGACAGGCAAGACGAACGGGGGACGGGCAAGACGAAGGGGGGACGGGCAAGACGAAGGGGGGACGGGCAAGACAAGGGGGGACGGGCAAGACGAAGGGGGGACGGGCAAGACGAAGGGGGGACGGGCAAGACGGAGGAGGAACGAGCAAGGGAAGGCTGCTGCGCGCACATGCACATGCAACGAGCAGAGTCTAGGAGATGAGGTAACAAGGCATGGACCCGGCCCGGCTGGACCAGTCATGCTGCCTCCCGTGCATGTGACTCGGGGTTGGCAAGGTTCTTTGAAAGACAAAGGGGAACGGAACTAGCAGGTGAACAGGACTTACATGCAGCTATTCGGAGCTCGCGTCATTCATGGAATGGCAAAGGGAAGCGTGACTAGTACGAGGACAGGACTTACATGCTGCTGGAACTCGGGGTTGGCGAGGTTCATGGAGAGGTTTCGCATGAGAAGGAGCACCTGGTGCGGGCGAAGTGGACGGCGGGAGAAACGGGAGCAGGCAAGACGGATGGAAGGAGATTGGAGGGCACGCGTTGAGAGAGACGAGGTGCACGGATATAATGGCGACTACGGCTAACTCGTGAAGCGTGGACGCAAACGGATGAATTGATCCTCGGACTCATGGTTACGTGGTGTCTAAGTCTAATACAAGCAATGCGCGGCGAAGGTCACGGTTTCGCGGTCGATGGGCGCCATGGCCTTGAGGTGCGCGAGGTGGCCCGAGTGGCCACGCCTGGGCCGTCACTGTGCGCGACCGCGACTAGTGCTTACATAATTGTGTACTTGAGGGTAAAATAACCGACAACTGGCGGCGCGACTCACGGTTTCGCGGTCGATGGGCGCCATGGCCTTGAGGTGCGCGAGGTGGCCCGACGTGGAAGGGTCGAACACGAACCCTATGAACCGGTACACCTCCGCGAAATCCGGCGTGGCTGCCGGGGTAAGAGTAGGGGGGAAGAGGAAGGGAGGACGGAAGGGAGGACCGATGAGCGGTTGAGAGGAACAGCGGGCGGGAGGATTTGGGGAGAGGGAAAAGGGGAGCCGGGGCAGGGAAAATAAGGAAAATCTGATCCACTGGAAGAAGAGCAATGCGAGTTGATGATGCGTGGGCAGGCAGGGCGCGTGGCATCGTTACCTCGAACTCTCTGCTCGCTGGCGTTTCCCGTCGACTGTTGTCGCTGCTTGGTTGACGCGCATGGGAGGGGACAGAGCAGGGTGAAGTAGGGGCTACAGAATGAGTCGCGGCATTCGCAAACGAAAGGAAGCAGCTCGGAAATAGGGGCGGAAACGGCTCGGAAAGGAAGCAGCGCAGAAGCGAGAGCACGGACTGGAAGCAATTAAGAGGAGGAGAGGAGATGTAGGCAGGGGCTGATGAAGCCGCTGACATGGGGGGACGGTGCGTGCGCGCGGAATGCGCGCAGTGGGAAGCAGAGTGCGCGCGGAATGAGCATAGGGGAAAGCTGCGTGGGCGCGGAGTCAGAAAAGTGGGATCGAGCATGCACGGGGGAGCGCACCTGGGCTTGCGCCATCCACATGGCGCCCGCCGCACTGGTGCCGCCGCCCAGTTGCGACGCCCCCGCCATCAGCCCCTCCGCCATGGCCCCCATGCTCGCCGCTCCGCCGCCTGTACCCCGCACGGATGGGCGCAGGAAAGAAGCGGATCAGCGAAGTTGAAGAAAGAAGCAAACCTCTCCCACGATCATATTTTTGAGAAATCTCAAAAGCTGACGATAATTAACATTTTGTACCCGCAACGTAGAAATGTGTTGCTACACCTTAGCACGGGACAGCCCGACGAGCGACAGCCATGACCGACTGCCAACGAACACTTCCGAACGTAACTACAAGAACCACAACGACCGCTCCCCCTTCCGCCTCCGCCCCCGCTCCCCCTCCGACACCGCCACCGGCACCGCCACACTAACGCACCTCGGGTAGCAAGCGAAACGGCTCCCGGCGGATGCATGCCGTGGTGCATCCATCCACTCGTCCCCGCCATCCCCGCCATAGCCGTCATTCCCGCCATTCCCGTCATCCCCGTGATCCCCGCCATTCCCCCCATCCCAGCCATCCCCGCCATGCTCCCCATCCCCGCCACCGGCCCCATCCCCGCCAATCCCGCCATCCCCGCGCCCCCCGCCGCCGCGTCGCCGTGACTCCCCGACACTCCCAGGGACGCCAGCGACGCGCCTACGGACCCGCCGAGCCCGTGGCCCAGGCCCGACATGCTCATTGCAGCCTTGGCGGACGGAGTGGAGGAGGTCGGTGAAGCTAGGCTCGCGACGGAAGCGGAGGGGATCAGCGCTCCCGGCGGGAATGGGGAGGGGAGCGGACCGGGCATTCCCGCGCCTGGAAAATTGGGCCCTGCTTCACCGCATCCTGCGGGGTGTGGTACCGCAGAGGGGACGTGGAAAGGGGGGGATTGGGTTGGTGGGGACGGCGGAAGGTGGAAATGAGATGGGGGGGAGGAGCGGGGAGTGGGGATAAGTGAGCACAGATGTTGGTGAATGAATTGGGGAAGAAGACAACTGGGTAGGCTATGCTTCCGCTGAAGTGTGACCGTTGATACTGATCTAGAATGGCATGACAGGGAGCCACAGAAACGCTATGGGGACGACATAAACAATTCTTGAACTACGGCCAAACGAAGTGAAGAAACTATTGGAAAAAAAAAGAACGCCAGGCGCAACGCAAACCGGCTAGATGCGAAGCTGCGAAGAAAATTACCTCTTCATTCTGAGCTGCTGGCCTTCTGAGGGTGCGACGGTGAATTCTGAGTCGGCTCGAAATTCACCTGCGTCTATTAACACAACTGGCTAAAGGGAAAGCTGTGACGGAAATTACCTCCTGATTTTGAGCTGCTGGCCTTCTGAGGATACGGCTGCGTGGATTTGCGCTTCGGCCTCGGCGGGGGCACGTGCTCTCCCGTGCCGTTCTTCTGAACCTTAAGAAAGTACTTCTGCGCGTGGCTCCTAATCTGCAGTACAGAGAATTTCGTTAGAACGACTTCAATATTGGAAATTGTGCAGTCATGGCGTATCATTCGGAATATCTGTGCATCCATGACGTATCAGGTTCGAAATTAGCTATTGCAATCGCTGACGACGTGCTGATGGAGATTGTAAAGCTATCGTAAGGAATATGGACTTATTGCTCTTGTAGCGGGGAATCTAGGTTTGGAATAACAAGGGGGGTGAAAGATAGCTCAAGAATTCTACCACCGACCTGAATCACCGATTTAGTTCCGACAAACGATTCTATCTTCTTCCAGTCCCGGTCAAATCTGTGGACGCACACAGACCCATATCGGAAATACTAATTTACTGAGCATCGAGGGAAATTGCTGAGAATGGTAACAATCAAGATATAAGAAGGACGTTGTACCCGTTAGGTACTAAATTAGGACATACAGCTGCAAGGCTTCTAGAAATTTGTCATGCTCCTGCTCCGTCCAGCTCTCCCTAGACTTGGTGATCGTGTACGGCTTCCGAATCTTCTTCTGGGCGTCGTCCTGCGACGCCGACTGGCTTACAGATGCTCCTATGCTATTCATCATTACTCGACCCGACACTAACGCGAAATGCAGCACAATCAGGCACGATGATAGAACATATCCCTAGCTTCGAGAACGCTGGGTCTAGCTATGTCACTCCAGAAACCTTCCTAATCGATCGTCCTAAACGTAGGCAAGAAGGGCGAGCTTTGAAGATCGCTGAGTTAGGGTTACGACAGGCTTTCATAGCTGGCCTGACTGCAACTGTGCACCATCATCCTTGAAACTTCAGGGTGGTCGAGTTTAGTGCGTGGAGGAGGAAGACTCTTGATTCCATGGCCAGACAGAAACCAGACTCACAAACAGACACCCTTTCAGTCATCAGAACATGGCTATCGTTGCTTGTTACCTTCACCGTCGGCAACTTCAAGGTCTGGAGGAATGGGCAAGAACGGAAAAAAGGACCGTGAAAGCCAAAAATAGGGTTTGAAGGGGTACCGACAAGGACCAGAATCTCTAAGGACGCGGCACCTGTTTTCATTTTACAAGGATCGCGGCCTCACATCGATCCTGGCATATCGATCGGCACACCGATGTGCCCACACTGCAAATTTGCAGTGGGGTAGACACATCGAGCTACAAGTGCCAGGGTCGAAATTGCAGGCTCGGGCAGGTTGGAGCTGCCATTACACTTAAACGCGCAGCCAATCAGGGCAGAGCGTGGATGGTCGTCCAGCAATTCCATTCGCAGCGACTCAAAACAAAATTTGGCCTGCGACCGTGGGCGACGCCGATCGATCGAGGCTGTCACCTGTGGCGCGATATGCTCTCCCGCCAACCCTAGCGCATGCACCACGGCACATCGATCGTGCGAGCTGCAGGTGCCACCAATTTGGGTACCCGTTTACTGTATCTTCTCGAATCTCAGCGAAAAAAAGGATACCAGGTATTGGCGACGTCGCCAATACACTGTACAAGCGGCACATCGATCCTCTCCCACGAACAGAAAACAGGTGCCGCGTCCTAATCCCCACGAACGGTCTAGATTAGCCTTCATGTACTTCACCTCAATTCCCAAATTGCTGGAACTGCCCGTGTCCTTTCTTCCCTCTCGACGCAATCATTTCAACACACGACAGCCCGACAGCACTGCTCTGAAGCTGTGCGGCTGTGAAGATTTCATCAAGCAGACCTCGCCCGCGAATGGTAGCGGATGGCTACCCTGACCGAGAAGAATCTTTGAGAGAATTCTGTCCATTCGTTTGCCTCACCGCATGTCAACGGGCAATGGCAGCCACAACAGAAATCTTCAACAAGCAGATCGCCTCACCGATGCGAGCACCGCTATTGATTCGTTTTGGGGCAATCGACCTGTGTTGTTGTCCCACGTTCATCCGAAATGTGCATATGAACACCAAACCTGACAATACACCCTGTTTCTCGCGATACTAACTTCATCTATGACACCAACAAGTCCGAAACGGTCCTAGAACACAGCATATAAGCACAGTTGCTGCACTCAACTGTACGTAATAGCGTTGGTTACCTTATGAACCATTGTTTCTTCATTGCTTGATGGAAACCAGGTCATCACCTTCCTCTGCTTCAATTATTACCACCAGCCCGGAAAATATCAACCCTGTAGCCAGTAGAACTGATTGTTACGACATCGCGAAACAACGGCCTTGTTCGGCTGGCGAATCATGTTTAACCGTTTGCAGACTCGGGGGCACTGCTCATATACGAGGTTGTGATTATTAGGTGTTATTTTAACAACCAATACAGTGAAGGGTTCCGTGGAAGTCATACAACTCACACAACACATGTCGCGCAGTTATATCAGTAACTTATGTCACTCATACATCACAACGTTGTCGAGCATCACTAAACAGTTACATGGTGGGATATCTTGACGTTGCACCATGCGCGCATTAGTGATACGTCACGACGCGTTGCACGAGCAGGCTCACGTTATGGGCTCGCGACGGGGTGGAGCCTTTAAAAAGCTCCAAATATGAAGAAAGCCAAGACTGTGCATAAAATTAACTAGGCTCCCGCTTTCCTGGAGCCTTCCAAGTGTCACATCCCATCCCGAGCGGGTGCGGTGCACCAGCTTGTGTACATGTATTTTCCTATAATCAGCATAAGTGTAGATAATATTGACATAAAATAGACTATTCGACGGTTGGAATGATACGCTCACCCTCGGCAGTAATATACTCATTTTGAGCCTTGATAACATGTTTTCAACTTATCAAATAAGTTTTGAGGGTGCTCAAATATATAATGGTGCGCTAATCACGCAAGGCAATGATGTATCTGTTAAGATGTATATACAGGATTCAAAACATAGAGGGCAGACTATTACCATGTATCATCAAATGCATAGGGACTTCTTTACTATAAAACAACCTTTCGTAAAATAAATATCGTCTGATAGCGAGAACCTAGGAGTAACATTTGGTATGCGACCGACCATACTTTGAACAAGATGTAACATGCCATAAGTTGAACCCACTCTTGGCTCACAACATGGAAGCTAATATACAGAGTAAATTCTATAAGGTTTTTAGAGGACTTAAGCGACTGTTGATGTATATAGGGGATATAAACCACAAGGAAAAATAGGAGAAACTTCTCTAATATATACCTCTATTTATTTTTTATGTCATCTTCCAATCCAACCCTCTTAGAATCGTGTATGGTATGCTTTCCCATTCGTTATGGAACTTCATCCCCTCCATACACTCTCCAGCTAAAGCCTGGCTTTACCAGATTTGTACGCCGAACGCACCAAGCTACAACATAAGCTTCCTCCCCAGCCGTCGCCAGTATGCCGTCTCGTTCAGACGTCCTTCGCGTTTATCGCCACGCTCTTCGCATCGCCGATCGCCACATCACTGCCGTCGCCGGGAACCGCTTTGCGCGCGATGCTATTCGCGAAATGGTTCGCGCAGACCCAGCGACCACTGCAGATTTGTCTGACGGAGCTGCTAGGGACCCACTACCATCGGACCATGTTAGAGAGGCTGACGCGAATTGCGGTGCTGCCGTGGCAGGAGTGGACAGGGCTAGCCGTGTTCTTTTGCTGAAGGATTGGGCAGATCTAGTCGACGCTATCCACTCGCACAAGGTGAGAACATCCAGCGTCGGTAACGATCATTATAGCAATAGAAGGATTAAGACCAGCTTAACGGGTGCACGTGACCTTCTGTCTTTTCCCCCTGTCATGCTGGTTTAATCATAAAAGCGCCAGTGAAATTTTCTCACGTGTCCTTCGTTGATAGATAGGGTTAGTGAGCACCTTGGAGGTATCTTCCTTGATCTACGTCAAGAATTGCCTGGCTGGTCATTGATGTTTTGATCATGGCCTTTCTAGTCTCCACCCATCAATACACATCTCAACCCGATCGTGCTCGAAGTCCCTGCATTTTATATAACAGTGTTAATGTGCATTTCCGCATCTTGAGTGCGTTCAACACCTCTGATTAAGCTACCTCCTTACCACCCCACATCCCCAACCTCCCCATTGTGTTCATGCAGAGCCTGCTGCACTCGTACAACATAGACATCGACAGGGAAGCTGAGCTCAAAGATAGGCTCCGTGATACAGCTAGAAGGGTTGGCCTTCAGATAACCCCTCCAGAAGATTATGAACCACCAACTCTTGAAAAATAACGTTGCACAAAGTCATTGTGCATTTGTTTTGTGCCGTTGAGTAGTTTTATATGTTTTAGGAG